CTTCCCAATTAGTCTCCTATATCGTCCAGCATCATCTAGGAGAGAGGTATCATCACGCCACAAATCAACATTTGCCTCCATTGGAGTGCTTACAGGTTTGCATTCCAAGAGACCTGCTTCTTCTAGTAAATCTAGCACATACTTCCTTTAGGACAACAACAGGCCATGTTTTTGATATGCAACTTCAATCCCAAGAAAATACTTTGGCTTTCCCATGTCCTTAGTGATAAAATGACGGTTTAGATACTCCTTAGTCTCAGTTAAGGCAATAGAGTCACTCCCAGTCAGCAGAATATCATCAACATATACGGCTAAAATAACCAAACCAGTTGTTGTGCGTCGAAGAAAGACAGAGTGATCAGACTGACAACGTTGAAAACCAACATTAGAAATAACCTTGCTGAACTTATCAAACCAAGCTCGAGGACTCTGCTTTAACCCATAGATGGCCTTTCTCAGCCTGCAGATAAGATTCTCCCCCTGAGCAACATACCCAGGAGGTTGCTCCATATAAACCTCCTCGTCCAAATCACCATAAAGGAAAGCATTCTTCACATCTAGTTGGTGCATCGCCCAATCCATATTAACAGCCAGTATGACCTAGGTATAGATACAGTGGACAAGGACAAGGCAAACTGACAAAAAGATGGGTTGAGACGGTCATAAGAGACAAAAAGAGATATAGGATATTTCGGGCAAGACCGTTTACCTTTTCGAAGAGCAATAGGGATATCCAAGTCAGAAGGAATAGAAGTCTCAACATGAGATGGACCGACAGCTGGAGATGAATGTTCAGCAGTAGCAGATTCAAGAGCATGTACTTTTGGGCGGCGAGAGTATGTCAGTAGAGGCTTCGGTGCAGGAGCAACAGGAGCAGGTAATGGAATAGTAGTAGGAGCAGAAGAAGCTAGTGGTACCTTATGGACAACTAATAGTAGTGGAACCAGGCGAAAATATGGAACATACTCAAAAAAGGTAACATCAGCAGACACAAAATATTTCCTGGTAGACGGATGATAACACCTATATCCTTTTTGAGTACGAGAGTATCCAACAAAAACACATTTGATGGATCTAGATGACAACTTATCCAAACCAGCAGTTAAATCCTGAACAAAACACGTAGAACCAAAGACACAGGGAATCACAAAGAATTATTTTTTATCAGGAAAAAGACAATTGAATGGTATTAAACCATCAAGGACAGAGGAAGGCATGCGATTAATCAAATAGTTTGCAGTGAGAACAACATCAGACCACAAATACTTTAGAATATTCATTTGTATCATCAGTGTTCTAGCAACATCTAGAATATGCATATGCTTCCTCTCAGCAACTCCATTTTGTTGTGAAGTGTGAGAGCAAGAAATCTGATGAATAATGCCATAAAGAGCACAAAATTTTGAAACATCACTTTTCATATATTCCAAAGCATTATCAGTACGAAGAATACGAATAAGAGCACAAAATTTTGAAACATCACTTTTCATATATTCCAAAGCATTATCAGTACGAAGAATACGAATAGAAGTAGAGAACTGAGTTTTTATTTCATTATAAAAGAGTTCAATAACGTACGAGACCTCTGAGCTCTCTTTTAACAGATAAAGCTACGTCATGCGAGAGAAATCATCAACAAAGATAATAAAATATCGAAAACCTTGCACAAAGGGAACACGATAAGGACCCCAGACATCGGAATGAACCAACTCAAAAACAAAACTACTACGTTTATCGAATCGACTCTGAAAAGTAGCGCGATGGTGCTTACCCAGTTCACACGACTCACAACCTAAAGAGGAAATAGATGGCTGAACAGAAACTATCGATCTAAGTTTTTGTAGTGAAGGATGACTCAGACGCCAGTGCCACAATAAAGTGGAGTCAGACTGTGATGCAACAAGGCCAACTTTTGGCACACTGTCGTCCAAATAATACATACCTCCTCTCTCATGCCCCGAACCAATCTTCATCCCAGTTGCTAGGTCTTGAAAAACACAATAGATGGAAAGAAGGTGACTTTACAATTATTTTGTTTTGTAAACTTGCTAATGGATAATAGGCTAACAGGGAATTTGGGAACATATAACACATCAGTTAGTTTTAAAAAGGAAGTAGCATGAACTACTCCATCACCACGAACTGGAGAAAGAGTACCATCAGCAATGCGGATAGAAAGAAACTTATCAGAAAGATATAAAGATACAAAGTGATCCTTTATACCTGTCATATGAGATGAGGCTCCAAAATCTAGTACCCAGGGTTTGTGAGAAGAAGCTATGTAAGCATCCATACCTGAAAAGGATGCATGAGTAGCAGAATGAATATTCTGAGAGAGTTCTAGTTGGCGCAACCTCTCATAATCTGCCTGAGAAATCTGAACAGTAGGAGCAGTAACAGCTAGACCATCAGAAGTAGTAGCAGAAATAGATGAGTTAGTCGACTCTGTATCAGCTACCTGGGCCCACTGAGGACGACCAAACTTCTTCCAGTATTTCTCAGAAATATGATTGGTTCTCCCATAATAACCACACTGTCGTGAGCCCTTATCAGATTCACCTTGCCTCCCACAAAAGGAACCACGTCCTCCCCCTGAATCACGACCACGACCACGACCACGATCGCGGCCTTTGTCTCGATTAGAGAATATGGCAGACTGATCCATCGTAGGTGGTGATGGTGTAGTAGTATCAGAAGTAATACCAGTAGAGACATGCATGCCTCTGGAGAATGTAGCAGTCAGTGAGGGAATTGTATCTCCACCCAATATTTGTCCTCTCACCTGGGACTATAAATTAAGGTTTAACCCAGAAAGAAATTTGGATACTGCCAGATCACGACGATACCCTAATAGCATCGCTGCATCAGCTACTGCAGGCTGATGCATCTCTAGTTCGTCTATCAGTCCCTTCAATTCACCAAAGAATTCAGAAACTGACTTATCTCCCTGTTTGAGGGCAAACAGTCGTTTATAAATTTCAAATGCGCGAGAAACATTCTTCTCGTTCCCGTACATAATCTTTAGGCTGTCCCACATCTCCTTCGCAGTGGTTAAAAACATAACGCTGCTACTGATCTGTGCTTCCATACTGTTGAGAAGCTAAGTCATAACATAATAATCAGATAAGAGCCATGAATTGTAGGTGGGATCTGAGGTTGGTGGTGGAGATGCAAGAAGATGTGGTAGTTTGCTCTGAACGCCAATAAAGATGCGGAAAGCTTGTGCCCAGAGCAGATAGTTTGCACAATTCAATTTAATAGTAGTCCCCAAGACTACCTTGGGCGCAGAGGTCTCACCAGCAACAATAGAAAGAGTAGTAGAGGAGGAGATGTCCGACATCGAAGTAGTAGTCATTTTTTATTTTTAAGCAACAATAGGAGACAAATAGTAGTCAAATAGGCAGATTAGTAGTAGAGATCTGTTTTCAAAATATAAACTAAGAGCAGATCAGGAGCAGGATTAGAGGCAGAGTGGTAGATAGTCATGCCCTCACACTACGTAGGCGAGATCACCTGAGGGAGAGAGCCCTGGCTTTTGTTTGCACAAAGGCTCAATTTCTATATTCTTGTTTCTCGAAGGAAACAAGAATAAAAGTGAAATATCTCAACAACGTGAGATAGACACTCTTCCTCTCATCAGTTCTATGACTGAAATATCGAGACTTCCTCTCATCAGTTCTATGACTGAAATGTTGAGGGATACAATCGTCCTCTCATCAGTTCGAAGACTGAGATGTCGAGGGAATAGGCAACACGATGTAAGGGGCACTGTAGCGACGGCGGTACTGTAGCAACGGAGCGGCTGTACTGTAGCAGGGGCGGTGGTACTGTAGCAACGGGCGGCGGCTAGGGTTTTTGAATGAAGATTTGTGACGGCTAGGGTTTCATGCTCTGATACCATGTAGAGAATAGAGAAAACCCTAAGTGTTGTATTGAGAATAACAAGAGAGATATATATAGTCATACAAATAGGGTTAAGGTTAACGGGTAACAGCCCATTAACCCAATACCCAATATTTAACTTAACATAAGCATTTTGGTTGCATATGTAGATACCCGGCTTGGGATCTCATAGTTTACTCAAATTTTAAAAGAAACTTGATTAAGTAGATATATAGGTGATTAAAAATCATAAAAAAGCCTATCAATCTCCAAAAGCTGAAGACCATGTTTGAATGTCTACTTAAAAATTTTGGACTGGGGTGTATTCTAGTTCAGCATCCCTCATTAGAATTGAAAGTTTTGATAAAATTGCTATGAGCATCTTTATTCAATTAGTTCTTGGATTTACTAACTATAAAATATCAGAAAAATAACAGAAAATTCCTGAAATCTTTTGGTGGGTTCTGAACTATGTTAAAAGATCTCTGAAAAGGTTCCATGGATTAAATTATGTATTTAAGCTTCGAATCCTTCCTTTAAGATTAAGATCTCAATAGATGTTTATATTTAATGTGCTATTGTTGTTCTTTATGAGGAAAGAGTAGATAATTAAGGGAATATCTTGGAGCCACATCTAAACTTTATTCCAACTAGCTACTGTAAAAGGTAGATTCATATTTTGGAATCTGTCATAGGGCTCGGTGTTTCTTGGGTTTGACTGTTTGTTCTTTTGTTTGTTCGTCTTTGTGTGTGCGCGCACATGTGCGCATGTTTAGGGGTGTGTATTTGTGTGGGTGAGTGGGTGGGGGTTGCAGTTATACAATAGTCAGACATTAAATCCCCTCCATAACAATCCATAAAATGAGGGTAAAAGTAACGTAACAATTTCAAGGAGACCAGTTAGGGAAACCTACATTTTCAGTCATGAATGTTAAGCTGGTTATGAAATTCTCCTAGGATAAGGAAAGATCTAGAAGGAAGATGAACCGGTATCTGCCTTAGAAAACTGTACACACTTAAGGCACAAGATAAATCTTAGGGCCAAACAAGATATCCAATGCTAACTAGTTTGAGGAAAGTGCCCAAACATACACAAAAATAGGACTTGGCAACCTTACCAGCGTGCTAAAGAGTACCACAACGGTGGTGCTGGTAATCATAGTTGCATGATCTGGATCCCGTGTAACACCAGAGATCGTGAACTGTAGAATGATAAAAGTAAATAGATGGAAGTTAGTTTACATGCACACTTCCAAAAAGAAAATGCTAAATAAACCACATTATAACGCTTTCGCTTTGTGCATGGCTGTGACTGGCACCTGATTGAATGCCAGAGCAACAGACACGGCTCCCCTCATGAGGCCAGCCCACCAAATTATTACCTGTCAGTGTTTGTCCAGTTCAACTATGAGAATATTTCTAATTTATATAACAAGCTAAGCAATAACATTAACTAAATTATGATTACATCAAACAAAAGCATAGGAGATGCAACCTGGTGTCTAAATGTAATATGAGACCCTTCGGAATTTGAGCTGAGAAAGTTGGATAAAGTGGAGAGGGGAAACACAAACACAGCACGCCCCACCAAAACCAGAATAACAATGATACAGTTGATGGCTAGGGCTGTTTTAAAGCTGCCATGATATGAAAATCTCGTCAGATTAAAGAAACAAAGCATCACATACATGACATGTTCATGTACAAGCTACAAGTGACAAAAAAATAATATAGGAATTATTAAAGCATGGATTCAACAGAAGGTTGGGAACAACAAGAATGACTTTGTCCCAAAATTTTGGGATTGATTACATAAATCCTACTCTTCCATCTTCTTTAGGATTCATGTTAACAGAGATCTGACTAGGTTACATGCTAGTTACCGGCTACCTAATTCAACCTAATTCAGACCTCCTCCTTTATCCTGGCTTGGACCAATAGTGAAAGGATAAACATTAAAACAAACACTGGTGGAGTTAAAAGATGGCATAAAAGATGGTTTAATTTTAGCATAGATTGTTCTGGTATAGAAACACGGGGGGTAGATTCGCACTGTTTCACTCAAAAAAAAAAAATGGTCTTGTATACAATGCTTATGAGGAGGTCATGTGAAGACCTCGAGAAGAGAGGAAAGAGAAAAAAAAGGTAAAGGGAGATGTAGGTAAGCAACTAAGCTTCTAGATTGTCACACAGGTAAAATAAAACACTTGTCAATCAAACAAAGTAGAAGGCTGAATTTATGTTGTACGTCCATTTTGAGAAATATATCAGGTCAGTTATCCTATTTATCATCCCTAGCTAAGATGTTTGAAGCTAAATACATGAAGTCGACTTCATACCTAAAAAGTTTACAAAATCTTAAGTGACGCAAAGGGTAGAATCCTGAAAACAAGTCTACAAATACTTAAGCACGCAATGCCCTCACGGAAAAACTTGTAGATTCCACCAACTTCGAAAAAAGATTGGCTACTCTTTGATTATAACTAATCCAATTCAAATTTTACTAACATAAGTTACACTGAAGATTCATTCCACACCGAGCATTTATTAGTGGACACAATTTATTTTTTGTGGTTGGTTGAGACCTTCCAAGCACAAGTTAAAAGGGAACGAGCTAATGTGCTAATTGGATCAACGAGGGTTGAGTTGAACTGATACGCTAGCAGAGACTGATGGTAGAGGTACTATGTAAACTACATCATTCAGGCAAGCTAAGAAACCCTCAAAATCCATGCTATCAGAGTCAAAATATGCTGTACAATAGTAGGTATGCAGTAAAAAAATTCTAACCTTGTCTTTGTCACCTTCCATTTCTCGATTGCAAGGGCATCCATCCCCACATACAGAAAGATGAAAATCTCGGCAATGAATGACAGTGTAGCAAAGATGTGCCTGGAAAAAGAGAGGAGGTCAATATTTGACATTATGTAGCATTCTCAAAGCATTTATACATCTTGTACAACAGAAAATCCTAAAAGGATAATAAAATGAAGTTAATATTCAAACATTCCATCATGAAACTGATTGCATTGAAAGAATTAAGCCATAGCCAACATAACACTTTTGTTGACATGTATGCCAACACCTATCCTACGATGCAAAAGTAGACAAATGTAATACATCTTAGAGAAGAAAATTTTACGCCTTAAATAATTCCATTTATTCTGTGCAAACTCATCCTATCTCATAATTGCTTGTAATCCCATAGTACTTGATCTGTTAGCATTTTTTTTGGGTAAGCAATTCATTGAGGAGATTAATTATTGAAGGTGATTCTATTTGATATGGCCAACTCAGAAGAGAAAAATTGCAAAATATAAAATTGAAAATCAGATGCTTACCTTGTCGAGATTCTTGAGTTTTCGCTCACATTATGCCATGCATAATGTGACATGACAATCCCACAAAAGAAGACAGTAAGGATCCCACTAAGTTGCAATAGCTGCACAATCAAATGAGAATAACGTATAAGAAGAAGAAAAAAATCATAACAATACATGAAGAAAAAAATCATAACAATACATGATATAAGCACAGAACTCCTACAAATTTACACCATTCCCACATACCATTAAGGACGTTACACTTTAACATATTACCAGAACAAGCAGTTTACGGCATCTGCCCTCACCATACAAATAATCAAACCAAAGATATCTAGAGTTGGACAGCCTCAACTTAGGTGATTGGTTTGGCAAAAAGTCGCCTAAAAAGATAAGCCAATCTAGACTATAACAGGTAAACTATAGCTATATATTAAAGAAATTTAAGACACATGCAGTAAAGGTAAAATGGAGAAGCCATCTAATAGAAGTAATCATAAGTTCATCAACAGTTGGACTACATGCATATTCGGTAAAAAAAGGACAGAGAAACAGAATGATAAGCAGTTACCTAGAAAACACAAACTTTGGGTTTAACTAGCATTACCTTGTAACATGAGTTAAAACCAGCGGTAAGTTTCGCCAAATATGACGACAAGGACAAGTAGAGGATGATGTGTTAATACTAACCTCTGCCAGCATGTAAGACAAGTATGCCATTAAGATCATTATAGCTATTTCACGGTCGGTTGAATGCCTGTAAAACACAAAGAGTCATTGCAAAAGTCCCCTCAAAAGTTGAAATAAAGAACAATCTGTTATCTAGATAACTTACCTTCCAAAATATAGGGTTTTAAGAACATAGGCTGTCAGAAGTCCGGTCTGGAAGAAGTAAAAGTGTGAACATTAATCCAAGAGCGCCAGAATGAATAAGCACTCAGTTAAAATTAAAAAAAAAATGCTTACTGCAATGCCCAAGACAGTGCTAGTAGAAAATAAGTAAAGAAAATCCCTGACAAAATAGACTGCAGCCCATCCATGTATTTTAGAGACGTCAAACTTTTGAATTGCATTGAAAAGAACTACTGCTGTAGCATCGTTTACTACTCCTTCCCCAAAAACCAAGCTGTAAAGAAGAGGGGTTTCGTCTTGATGAAGAACCTGCAGACAAAAAATATCAATCCATAAAAAATAGGTTTTTTAATCGATGAAATTTTAAATACAGCTGAAACTTAACAGTATAGACATATCAACCTGCAGGGTGCAGACAGTATCTGTTGAAGAAAATATTATTCCAAGAGCTGCATATAAATAACAAGGTAACGATAATTTGGGGAAGTATCATTTCAGGAGCTCAATTAAAACAATATCATCAGGAATAACTCAATGATTATTGCAGAACAACATAATAGACCAGTGGCATGTAGCAGAAAAATATCATAGAGTGATGGCGGACAAACCTAAATATTCTCGTATATCAAGCCCTTTGAAACCGATCTTCGGGAAGAGCCACCAACAGCCTAATTCAACAGAAAACATCAACCATAGATGGGGTTATTGATCAAGGATACTCTAAATATACTTTGCATGGGAGTTGTTTTAGATGTCAGAAGCACAAATTGAACATTGAAATGTACTTGAAGTAGATAGAATTGAAGTGAAAATTATTATCAGATGCTACCACTTGTTCATCCACAATCCACTATTCAAATGTATGGAAGCAGCAAAAAGACTATGAATGCTCGTAAACACAGCTGATATGACTTAAGTATTCCTTTTTATGACTCTATATAACTTTTACTGTTGATTGCTATTTCAAGAATCCAAAAATACCAGTCATTTGACTCATCCTGTTTGAAATTGGCATGTTTTTTGGTAATCATAGATAGTCCACAGTCAGAAATAATTTAAAATCGTTTCTTCAAGTTTTACAATTAACATATTAGTATTACGTCAATTGTTATCATAAACAAGAGCTCATGCAGTGTACTTTATGTTGATTAAATTTAAATAAGCTGCTGAATGAGGTAATCTTAAGTTGGCATACAACTCTTCTACATGCCTACATGCCTGGTGTGGCACTCAACAGCACGAAGTCTTTGAACAAGAAATAAAAGGACATTTATATAACATATTATTTACCAGCTGAAATGATTGCAAATGAAAAAAAAACACCAGCCACTCCAAACAGCGTTATCGGCAGGAAGTTGTGAAAGAATCGCTTCTTTTTCACTTGAAAACTGCAGCGAAGAATAAAACAAGTAACAAACCACAAGAGAGTACATCCTCGAAAACTCAAAAAGAATTGAGCTGCAACTCACCCGGCATTGAAGATTATTGGTGGAAGAAGATATATAAAGAACAATTCCTCGTCAAACTGTAAAATGTGAGAACTTGTACCTTTGCTCAATACCAGGATTATAGT